TTGATCGCTGTACGCGTACCTGCTCAGCGACCCGCACGTCTATCATTTTTTAATCGAAAAATGCGCGCACCAGACTCCATTTTCGTCAAAGAAGGCTGCATTGCGCCTTTAAATACATAAATATCAGACATACAAGCAAAATTCCATCGGATATTTTTTCTCCTTTTCTACATTCATTCTATCATTCTTGTGTAGGTGCTTCCATTATTTTTTACATTTCAGTTCCGCTTTGTTTATACGGTCGCCACCTAGGTGGTGGATTTTCATCGGAAAGGTGATCAGACCAGAAATCAAGCTTCGATTAACATAATTGCAGTTGTGAGCAAGAATTAAGTTAAGTTTGATCCTGAATTGGACACTCGTTGATGCAATCAAAATTAGCGTGAACCCTTGACTCATTATTGAGTAATTATGGCTGGAGTAATTTTAAGGCGATAGTAGGGAACTTTAAGCAGTGGAGGGTTTCATTGACTTTGCTTAACAACGCTCTGAGATTGCCTTCGGAAACTCGCTGCACCCAAAATAATTCATACAAAATTGGTCGTATCAAATGAGAAACAACAGAAAACAAAAGATATCACCTCCTTATTGCAGTTATCAGTCCGTGCTAGAATGAATGAAACGTAAAGAGAGACAAAGATATCCCGTTAAAAATAGAAAGAAAAGATGGAAATGAAACATTGCTGGAAGAACTGCGCCCGAGCACCCATAGACCGCCTTAGGGAAAAGAGAAACAATAACAAATAAGAAGTCAGATTGAAAACATAGCCTATAAAAAAGCAGGCGGTCAATGCAAGTAACAGTTGGTTTCGCTTTACATCTGATTTTTTAACGAGTTAGCACAAGTTTCTCGCTCAATCACAGAGTGAAACGAAATAAATCGCACGTAACTCCGGGTTATCATTCGAGATTTCGCAGTCATCATCGTTTTACCATTATTCTGAAGTTGATCTGAAGCCTAGTTGAAAAAATGTTGACAGCACATGGCTTTTAATATTCAAAATGATTAAGGGTTTTTCATGTTTTATTTTGCTCTTATTCGGTAATTAATGCTCTGAACTGTATAACATACAAGCCAGAAACACCGATCTCGTTAGCTTCCTTTGTTGCTGTAATTCTGTAGAGGGGCACTCTACTGGTGTTATTTTTCACTTTTATTGATATTTTTATTGTTCTTAATTGGCTCACTGATTTACGAATCATCATGCGCTTAAAATTTTTAGTTGAAATGCTAATCATGCTGTGTGAGTAAAAGAGATCCTTCCTTGACTGTTGAGTCCATTTTTGAGTCTTCTCTGTGATCAATAATTGTGTTCTTAGAATCATTCTGAGTACGGAAGGGGCAAAGGGGTCGGTCAAACTGGTGTTTTACTAGCTTTAGAAATCAAACTAGGTCGTTTTATTATCATAACCTATTGTTTTTTCGGATCAATACCAGTATCTGAGCAACTGCCCACCTACCCCTCCCCTAACTCAATAACAAGTTAGGGTTAATGTTGGGTCAGGGGAGGGGTAGGTGGGCAATTGCCCAGATACTGATATTGATCCGCTTTCTTGTTGTCGAGGAGATTTTGATAAAACTTCACGACTTCCTTTGCTACACCCTTGACACTTTTTCCGAAAAATGAAAGAAAGAGTGAAAAGAAAGAGAAACTATTCTCGTACATATTTCATCATTACGACTCGTCTGTTTTCGACTTAGGGAATCATTTTTGTTGTGTTTTTATTGTTAAAATTGACCTTTTTACTGTCTCTTAAAACACCAAGTACGTCCCTTACGACTGTAAAACTCTATCGACTGCTCACTCATAAACATGTCGTCGTAGCAACATTCTAGGGGGCAATTTCCTGGATTGACGAATGGTGCCGTCAGATCCGGCCTGCACAATTCACGGTCACCGGAACGTATATTGCAGCCGGGTTCTGTAAGATAAAACGATGATAGATAATCACCACACGGGGATACACCGGTTTTTTCTTGCTGCAGTCTGAAAAATTTACGTCAGAGAATATAGCCTCTCGGTTTTAGTCAATGATGATCGTAAACTAGATAAATATGGACAGCTTGGATGTGATCATCATCTTTAGAAACAAAAGAAAGATAACAACAACATAAAACAGTGTTAAGTATCCTATACAGAGAGCTTTAGTGACACTTCCGATAAAGCAAAGCGCAGAGACATTCCAATCACCTGGTGATCTCCTAGGTTTTACATTATCTGGAGCAATTTTTTCTTTTTCCATGCTCGTGTGAGATGGCGGAGCATAATGTGCAGTGACGTAAGTACCATCGTCTGGCTTGATGTTAAGTCCACAACCCAACTTGGTCTCTCCTGCCCACACTACCGCTTGAAAGTGTCCAATGACGCCCGTACCTCGGCCTGTTTGGTAATTGTAACCGTTCTTGATCTCTGAATACCAGCTTCTCACTGCACCAGCGATGGCTCCTTCCATTTTGTCCATCCCTTCCCAACCCCATCCTTTCCAAGAAATGCTTTCAGTAAATTTATCTGTCCATTTGGAATGGTGCATATAACCTTTAGCGGCTTGCTGGTCTGTCCATTCCTGGGCAGATATCGCCAGCTCGTGGTCACACTCCATTGGTGGAGAGCCATGCAGGTCCCGATAATAATTGTGCATGTTAAGGCAAAGGAGTTGACAATATGGATCACATGCTGTTAAAGGATTAATGGTAAGTTTTAAATATTCCAAGAATAGTAAAACTAAACAGATAAAGGACTGAAGGTTATGTAATTTTTTCCAGGAATCATACTCACTCAACCCATCTCCGCAATACGGCCCTTCATCAGTGTCTTAGAAACAACAAAGATATCCAATTATTTCCCATATTAAGAAAGAGGAATAATTAATTAAGACGGTTTTGGTTGGAGGGGAACATCATATATTATCACGACCTCAAGGGGAAAAAAAATAACGGAAGTTGTACAAAAGCTTCTCTGCATCACTAAGACTGGACAGCCTGAATGATGGTGTATGTTCCAGTTTTCTGGCATGAATCGAAAAGAACTAGCGCTCCCCTTCTAGGGTTGTACAGGTGTGCGAGAACATCAATGATTATTTAAAGTTTTGGTCATCCTCCTAAGGCGGTTACCCTTTTTTTACCCCCTGACTTTTGATAATCGCGAGGGGGAGAGGATTCCGAACATTACAAAAATCTAAAGGCCTCGCATATTAAGATGTAAAACATCTGAAATACCTGTTAATACTGATGTTGGACTCCCAGTCGAAGCCCTAGTTGTTGGAGTAGGGCTTGCGGTTGACAAAACTAGCACTGGCTTTGGAGATGCAGATGAATGAACGATCAAACGTAAGATTCCTGTGACAATTCATCAGAAGAAGTAAAAAGGTATTCGATAAGTTGATTTCACAATAACTTGCGATTGTATCATTGGTTTTAGAAACAGCTTAAACACGCATGTTTTACACGAACGAACAATGCCCCACCTACCTAAGAGTAAAAAGGGAAGAATAAAATTTATTAAGCCAGGAGCCAACATCTTCTCTCAGGCTCTTCACTGATGTCCTTCCAAGCTGTCTTGTATTAAAGTGATTTTTCTGGTAAACAGTGCTCCTGAAACATTAAGATCCTAATGAAACGAATGCAGATAACAGAAAAGAAACCATAAAATTAAAAAAAAAAAAGATTTATGCATTTACATAGGGGCGTAAAAAGACAAGGATAATTATAAGATAATATGAAAATGATAATAGAGATAAATCCTTTGTTACTTGCCAAAAACTCAAATTGGTTACCTCGTATAAGAAAAGTAGAGTTATTCAAGTTATAACTTAGTCAACAAAGGTGCATGAGAGGCAAATTTCTAGGTCTGTTTCCCCAAAACAAGTTCTCACTATTTGTATTGTAACTATCCTGTTTAGAATGGTCAATGGAACTGTAAAAACGAAGACAAAGAAAACGTGTTATGAAATTATAATATTAACTTTCAAGTACCTTTTCATAGCATGTTGCTGTCACGAGTACTGGTAGTCAACTGGGAAAACAACGACTTTTAAAAGCTTTTAGCAGGTTTCCATTTGACGAGGAATTTTTCTCCCTCCTCAATAGAATCGTGATTTTCCACCATTAAGCTGTTACTGTGAAAAAAAAGTAAATAAACAAAAACAAAGAACAAAAAACAAAAAAAAACAAAACAAAAACAAATAAGAAACAAACCATTATAAACAAAGGCAAAACCGGCCCCCAGTGGCTATAGAGGTCAGTCACCTGTACAAAGCATTTGACAAGGATTGGCAGGACTGTGTTATTCAAACCAACAAACACGCAAAAACTGAAATTCCACATTCCAATTCGATCTGCAAAAAGTGAACCGCATGAGCCACCTCGTGGAATGGTCACTGCCAAGTTACTATTATTACTATTACTATTATTATTAAAATTATAAACATTAAAATTTCCTCGCTTGTGATTGGTTTGAAAAACGCCGATTTTCCACTAATTCACTTGCAAGTTGTCATAGAAAAAATTTGTCATCAGAAAGTTTAATTTACCAATCACATTCAAAATTTTAGTTCACGTGACAATTAGGATTACAATTTACGCCTCCTTTGTCAGTCTTTTCATGCAAATGTTCCCTCTCTTTCGTAACCTGGCTATTCTTCTTTTCTCAGAGAATGTAATTGTTATGATTTATTGGTAATAAGACTTCGTGTCGTCCAATTCGGTTTGTAATCATAGTCGTGATAAATAATCGGACTCCTGCTGCGCGGTCGTCCGATTTTGTCATCACAGTCTTATAAGCGTTACTTAATATTTATCATGATATTATCACTTTTGCATTAATATGTGTTTGATAAGATATCTAGAGACAAACCGAATTGGACTCCACTCAGTCTTATTACCAGTACTTAATATTTATCATGATATTGTTATCACTTTTGCATTAATATGTGTTGGATAAGATATCTAGAGACTGACTGCCCGCCGAAATCTTGAAATTGCTAGTGCAGGAGCCTTCAGTTGGTAAATTTAAATACTCTTCCCGTGAAGGTTAATGATATAAGTGAAATAAGCATTCAAAGCCTACTAAATGAGAACCACTTACACAGGTTCTCTAAACTATTGGGAGAGTCGACTAAGTGCTGAACGAAATCTCGTACCGCAACTTTATACACTTAAAGAGGAACCCTACAGTGCTCTTTTCTAAACTTGCATTTTGAATTATTGCCATCAGCAAGTGTTACTACTTGCTTGAAATACTTAAACCTGAGATATTTCGCGGCTGAAATCATGTCTCAGGGAAATAAGTATCATGACTACCTTTGCAATTGCAACCTTGGCCTCACGCCTATGTTAAATACCCGCAACACTTCCAAACCAAAATATATAAAAATAAAAAAAAAAACCAAAAACAAAAACAAAACAAAATAAAACAACAAGTCGATTGTGTGAGGAATATTAATTGCTTCAGGAAAAATAGCACAATTGGACCAAGATACAATATTCTTTATTAACAATCACTTAGCATACATGTTAGTTACGAGGAAGTCTCTTTTAAAATATTTCAACAAACGGAAATGGAGGAAAAGTGACGCGAAAAAGGATTCTTTCCTCCAGCGATTCATTCGATTAGATCACCATATTTGTTCTTCCTGGGTGTTGGCCCTGTAGAACAGAAAAGAACACCAAGAAAACGTAAGAATTGAATAACTTTTTTTCCAATCTCACTAATCTCACTAAGCCGTTATATGTGCCCCGTCAAGGGGATTATTTAAGAGTATTATTTGACTTAATATTATTTAACTCCCATGACTGACCAAGACCGAATTTCTCCGTACAATATCAAAGCAATATCAAACAGGCAAGTCATGAGTATCAAGGAAAAAATGTAAACAAGGGAATAATTATTTGATTCAATACCAAATTCTCTGAACTAACATCATAAGAAATGTAAAATCGACAGTAAGGAGAATTACCAATGAGATCTTGGAGGTGGAGGATTTAAAATGTCTGGTACAAGACACAATATACCTTGTCTAAATGAAGGCCTCTCCCGCTGATTACTCGTCCTCTGGCCAGCTTCCTGGCTGCTGCGGTCATTATCGCTGCCTTCTTGGTCAAACCATGGCGTGAAGACATCACTTGAACTTGTCTTGCTATCTGGCTCAGCTTCTCGTGATTTCTGTCTGATCTGCGTTGTACATGTAAGTATACGAGCTAATCAGAACTTTCAAAATGTGCTCTACAATTAACAATTTGCTAGAATCTTTCTTTAAAAGAGGGACATCAATTTTATTT